GTCTTGCCTTTCTTCATGAAGAAGCTGAAAGGCCAGTGATTTATCGTGATTTTAAAACCTCCAATATCTTATTAGATGCGGTACACAATAAAATTCTCGTCATTCTTTTACTTTTCTCCTCTTCTTCTTCCTTTTTATTATGGTGCATCCTACTAATATGTTCTTTATCAGGATTATAATGCCAAGCTTTCTGATTTTGGACTTGCCAAAGATGGTCCAGAGGGAGATAAGACCCATGTATCAACCCGTGTGATGGGAACTTATGGTTATGCAGCCCCAGAGTATGTCATGACCGGTAAGCATGATTTTCTCTTCATCTCTAATCATTTCTCAACTTAATTTGACGAAAGATTTATCTATTTTTCCTAAAAACCCAGATATGCCTCCTTTTTTTTTTTTTTTTTTTTTAGCAGCCCTAATTGCCCATGTTATGGGCATATTCCAGTCTGCTACTGGAAAAGCTTAAAGCTTTTCTATAGGAATTAGTAGGATAGCTTTTGTATCTGTTCTCAGCATGTTTCAATATGTTTATTTATTTCAGTGCTACAGTTAAACTAAACTCCATTCAAGCCCAACAAATTTGGCTAGGGAGGATTTGGGTTATGGGAAGGGAAAGGTGGGGTTAAAACCGCAACCCTTGTTTTATTCTCATTTCAGTAGAGGGAAGGGAAGGGTTTTGAAGGGTTCATACCCCTCATATAATAAGAATTACAACCCTCAAATTGGGGTGTCTAAGCAGTTAGATACCTAACTCCTAAATTTCTCTATTCTTAAATAACAAAAACACCTGTAATTTAAAATTAGAAAGGAACTCCATTCCCTTCATTAAAGATATATTTTTAATTAGTTATTAAGTCTTACATTCCCTCTCCTTCCCCTTCTCTTCAACTGACACATCTGAACAAGAGAAGGGTGTCAATCCTACTGTCCCTTCTTTTCTGTGCCTTTAGAAATCTCCCTGTCCTTTCCCTTTTCTATCTGAGCACACTGGGCTTCACCTTTTGTGACTAAAATTAGAATGTTCAAGAATTTTTTTTTTTTTTTTTTTTAAAGAATAATTTTTTTTTTATCTGGCCCATTAGCAGGGTTACACGATAATCAGTAGACCTTCCATTAAGACTGCACAGTAGAATTAGATCCAAGTCTCTTGATACTATGGTTAATGACTTTAAAAACTAAACTAAGAAGCTTATTGTGTTCAAGGACTGATTTTGATTGGGCATTACTCTCTGAGGGCATAAGGATTCATTTTATTGTTTCTGAGATGCATTGTGGAACATCCTATCACTTTTCCGTGTGAATCATAATACAATTGGTTGATGCTTCTGCATTCTTTTAACCACTAGCTAACCAGATCATGCACTATAACGTGTGTAGATTTATGGATGGTGACTTTTTTTCCATATTGGGTAATATTTGGTTCTAAATAATAGATAAAAATGCCAAGCAATATTTGCATGTCTCTGTAGTAGGCATCCATTGTATGCAGTCCAGTAGTATGATGTAATTCCAGGTAGTCAATCCTGTTCATATTAGTTAGGAGAGGTTGACATAATTCTGCTGGTGCTTATCAACTAGCTGCCTTTCACTCCTAATGACCTCAGCTTGGAGTTAGTCTTTTCTTTGAATCTTTCAATAGCTGCGTTTTATTATTCCCAGATGTGATCAAACTTATCGTGTCAAACATGGACTTTTTTTCAAACCTATAAGGGCTAAACATGCTAAAACACTTCTGTCAGGACATCTTACATCAAGGAGTGACGTCTACAGTTTTGGTGTGGTCTTGCTTGAAATGATAACTGGCAGAAGATCCATGGATAAGAACCGACCTAATGGAGAACATAACCTCGTTGAGTGGGCAAGGCCACATCTAGGGGAGAGAAGAAGATTCTACCGGTTGATAGACCCTCGGCTTGAAGGTCACTTTTCAATAAAAGGTGCCCAGAAAGCTGCACAGCTAGCTGCTCATTGCCTTAGCAGGGATCCTAAAGCCAGGCCTCTAATGAGTGAAGTGGTCGATGCGTTGAAGCCTCTGCCCAACCTCAAGGACATGGCAAGCTCATCGTATTATTTCCAGACCATGCAAGCTGAGCGGGTTGGGTCCAGCCCAAATGCCAGAAATGGTGTTCGCTCAACGGTTGGATTGTTATCTAGGAATGGGCACCAACAAAGGAGTCTTTCAATACCAAATGGTTCCCATGCTTCACCTTATCACCATCAATACCCCCATCGATCTCCAAAACCCAATGTTAAACCATAGCACAGGATCAGTGAAGTATCTGCTTCTTTCAGCCACCTCTTTTCATTTATTTCTTTTTTTCACCTTTGTTCTCAGTATAGATGTATTATCTGTGAAAGCATTTGTTCTTGGACAACTGAGAAGGCAATGGAGACCCCTATGTGCTGTATTTAGAATGATGACCTTCCCATAGGGGATAATGTTAAGGGCAGGTGAAGCTTATGGCGCTAAATATCTGCCAATCATGTTTTACTGCAGTCCGGGAAATGTTAAAGATTATTATTAACTCCTGTGCCTGATTGCAGAATTTTCCCTTTTTAGTTCCTCCCTACTTGTTGATGCCTCGAGTCGTGGCCACACAGTGAAAAATTGATGATACATATGCAGGTAAGAATTTATGGTTTTGTTTGTTTGGGAAACCCTGAAGGTGCTTCTTCCTTAGAAAAATGATTCGAGCAGTATAATGGCCTAAGTCTCTGTTATCGAACTGTTGTTGTGGGCAGGATGGGTAATAACTAGTCTAAGCAGGTAGTATTGCTAGAGTGATGACCACCATAGTTTTAAACAGCAATAGAAGTTGTAATAACAGTAACGGATTACGACAATGGATACAGATTTTAATGGTAAGAAAATAATGGTTGTGGTTAAGTTGTTGTGAATTATTTAGCAACTTGTGACGAATTTTTAATAATGCAAGTTAATTTGATAATTTATTAAATAAACAAAATACTAGCATTTTTTAGTTATATATATATATATATACACACGTAATACTTGCACTATGTCAATGGCAAATTAAATTTTAATGTAACCTAATTTTAAAATTATTATTCAAAAAAATTGTTATAGTAAAATTATAATTTAGTTATTGGTTGTTTTGATAAAAGAAAAAGTTTACTTATATATATATTACAAGAAAAGAAAAGTAAAAATATTATTCAATATTGTAAATTATATAAAGTATAAGAAGGCCCAGAAATAATTCTCAACCAAGGTTCAATTATCACTTAAAAATGTCCAAAAATTTTATCCATAGGTTTATTTATCATGGATCTATATATAAGATTGACTCAAAATAAATCTTAATCCTCTAGGCTTAAGTCAAGCTCCTAGCAAATCTAGAACCAACCGCCTCCCTCGCTTTCTTCTTCTTCTTCTTCCTAGCAACGTTTCTTTTTTGTTCTAGCAGCAGCTCTTCTATTTTAACTTTTATAAATAACTGGTATAACCACCGTTAAAGTTATTTAACGACGTAATGCTCGTTATACATGTGAAATACCATCACTTGTCTTGTAATGCCGTAAAACGGTAACTGATGGTGCTGATTCTGTTATAAAACGACTGTTACCCTATGCAACAAATGTTTTTAAAACTATGATTCCCGCAACATGTGGATGAATTCGCAAAGACAGTAAAATCTTGAGATGGCTGGCAATGGGAATTGGAAGGGAATAGGTGATTTTGATTCCTGATTCCCATGTTGTCTTAATTTGACTTTCAAAAAAACTTAAGAACGATAAATATTAGGTGATTCTTGTTACTATATTCCCATAAAAGGTATCCAAATGTAACTTGGCTACTTTGAGAAACCTCGAATGAGATTTGATCTTGTGAACATGTTACCAGGTCGTCCTACCTCAACCATGGTCATGTGCCCAAGTTATGATTTGGATTATTTGTAAAATATGCTTGGATATCTTAGGTTTATTTAATTCTGTGTAAATTGAAAATAAGATACGGAAAAAAAAAAAAAAAACTCTCCTAACTGAGTTGATAAGACGCACAAATCAGCAAGAAAAGAAGAAGAGGGTGAATCACCACAATTAAAGATTGTGAGTGATAAGATTTGAGTTTATTTGCTATTAGTCTAGTTAGATAAAAACTCAAGTAATTGAGGAACAAATCTATCAAATTTGTAATAGTATTCAACCATGTAAAATAAAAAAAAAAAACAAAACTTCTTTATACAGCTAAAATACACTCCTAAAATATGGAGACACGCATAAATGTCTAATCTCTAAAATACAAGGATATGCATAATTGCCCCACTCTTAAAACATAAGAGAAAACCAAGTTGTCTTTATTCATAATTCTAACCTAAATGGAAAAAACAATCCAAATCCACAACTGATTGAAAATAATTAATTAATTATTACAAAATAGCGATTCATAACCTAAAATAAAATAGAAAAAAAAAAAAAACAAACCATTCAACAAATAAACATCATAAGACCAAATCCTTTCCAAGCTTAAATCAAGCCTAAACAAACAAGTAATCCAACGTCTTCCAAAACCCTCAAAACATTCAACATAAGACTTCAAGACAAGATCAATGTTGACAGGAAGCTCACGTGTCCAGTCCAGACTTTTGTTATTGGACCTGTTTGTGCGTGTGTGCCATCATCTTGTATGCCATGCAAACCATGATGCCCATCACATGGTTTCAGGGCTTGACTGCCTACCAAGTGTTTCTAGGTCTCGTAATAATTCAATGTTATTTAAGAAAAATGGAGCGAGAGAAAACGAGAGTTAAGTGGTTAAAAGATTATAGCATGTTAGAAATAGCATTCGATTTGATAGGCATTGCATACATGAAGTTTACTATTGTACTGTGCTACATAAATGTATTTATCTTAGGATCTCAGCCTTGAAGACCACTTCTTGAGTAACTTCTAGCTGAATGTGCAGAATGATTCTCGTTCCATTCAAATACAATGCATTTCATCTAGCTTATTCTTACCCGTCCAAATGTTAATTCATCTCATGCAGTTCGCCTTGTCAATTGCTCTTTAGATGTGCTCTCAAAGATCTTATCAGCATTTCCAACCTCGAATCCATCTCGCCTGTGAAACTCCTTGAGCTGTTGAAGATGGTGAAACAAGTTACTACCTCGTAATCGAGCACAAAAACGTCAAATCACTTTTTAGACAGTCAGATTTATGAAGATCATGATGTCTATCAATCAGACTGCTCTAGTAACAAGCCTCCATATGGCAGTGATCTTAACAGAAGTACCCATCCACATTTGAGAATCAAAGTGAACAAGAAAAATCATTTCAAGCACAACATATGGAAGTTTTTTACCTCCTCCTCAGGTATATTTTTATATTGTGGCAACACAAGGCGTTCAGCAAACTCAATGTATGAACAGGGAACTGATTCAGTGATGCCATCAGAAAACTTGAAAGAGATTGAGTCTGCTACAGTTGAGCTTTGCAGCAGGAGACCATCAGGGCTCACTGGCAGTGGAGGAAAAGAAATCATTTAATTATTATTAAACCTCTCAGAGAAAAAGTAAGCAATTCGAACCAATGATGCACGGCTATAAATATCAAATACACAATAACTAACACAACATACTATACTTGATCTATGAAAATAAAAGTATAGATGAAGTCACTCCACAATTACTGACAACGGCCATTATTTACAATCTGAGGCAGGATTCCTAAGACAAATTCAGCAGCTGAGTTGCATAGGAAGTGAAAAAAATGAATTTGCTAAAATTTCTAGTCCAGGATTGAGATCTAACAAAACTTCTCCCCATCCATTCAGGTGAAGTTTTATTTGAACAAGAAATCCAGGATAAAGATTCACCCAGAATTATTTATCAGCACAAGATAAGACATTTCATGCAGCTCTATCCTGTAAGTAAATTAGCATGCCGACAAAAGACTAAAAAGAAGAGTTACCACACCTTTGAGAACACCCCCTTCAGAATTCAATTTGAATCCATTCTCCTGGAGGAACTGATTGAGGGTTTTGATCCTTCTCAAGTGAGTTTTCAGGCGATGAGTGGAAATAGTGACATGGTTGAGTGCATAACCATTCACAAGTGTCCAGGCAGCATATTCACTCTCCCTAGGCATTAATCAATATATATATTCAAGAACCAATTTAAACACAAGTCTTGCATTGAGGAAAGAAAATTAAAAACAAAATTGGAGGATTAATCACTACCTTGCCAATTGCTGGAAGTCAGAAAAGAAGGGCTTCTTCCACGTTAACGATCCCAGAGCACTTGCAAGAGTTGCATGTTTATATCCATTGCCTGATGTTTCAATGTATTTTTCAATTATTTCCTAAAACATGAAGTTTATTCTTTAGTATATGCATAGAATAGAATAGAATCGATGAATTCTTACTACTACTGCTACTACTCACTTGAGCTTGTGGACTTAATTGATCGACAAGAAGCTCTGATATAAAAATTCTCGGCAAAGGGCCATTAACACCACTTCCACTGCCAGCATCTGGGACTCCACTCGGAGGCGAAAACCACAGAGCTTTCAATTTTTTTGCCGGAAATCTCAGCTCCTCCTGTTGTTTATATCCATAATCCAGGAAGAAATTTGCCAGAGACTCAATCCCATGACCCTTAACCTATAATAGTTAATAAAAAAAAAAATCAAAATCAGTTAATTATTTAAGTGTAGTTTTGTAATTAATACTCCTTAATACTGATAGATACCCCAAAGGTCCTGAAAGCAAGATGATCATAGCAGATTTTATCACCGTCATCAACCGACTTAACCAGCTCTAATATAGCTTTCGCAGTTGGATTTCTCTGCAGATAAACTCTTTCCATACTTCCTAGAACACTCCTCATCAACAATGATTCTTCATTTCCCTGTCATTTAAAAACAAAATTAAATTAATTTTACTGTATTCATATCAACTCTGATCGATCTGACAGCTTGATGATTAATTAATTAATAACCTGAAAGCTGGAAAACTGATGATCAACTTCAGATTTGGAGGCATGAACCGTGGTGCAGAGACTTCGATTTCCGGCCATCGGAAATGATTTCTTCTTCAGGGAAATTATGAAATTCCAGGCGGATTTGGTTCGCAAAACCGGACAAGTTGAAGTGCGAGGGTTGATTGCTGTTGAGTACAGTGAGGACATCATTGTCGTCGTCGTCATCTTTGATATTTTTTTTTTTTGTCGTAGTTAAGATGCCGTTCTTTGTTAACAGACGTGAATTTGCGTTTTCACTTCAGAAATGTGTTAGTATAAAGTTTCAAATTATTATTTTCTTATTTAAAAATTCACCATTCCACATGTCTTAAAGTTTGATTCCTTATTTGGATAAGTACGTTCAACAATCTATTGCTTAATTTAATTATAATGAAATATGAAATACGGAAACTCATGTTCAGTTTGAGTTAAATCACTCTACCAAGTGGATTTGGTTACACTGTTATTTTGGTTTGTTATATTTTTTTTAATTATGTTTTTTTTAGTTTAATATGTTTCTGGATTATGCAAATTAATAAATAAATAAATAAAATAGTCAGTTTACGACACACGATATATGTCCAAGTTTTAATTCAAAAACATATATTTTTTTAATAAAAATATAAGTAAATGGTTGGATTTGTTTTTATATAATAATTTGAGTTTCTACTTTGTCATTATGTTTTTAATTGCATCTATCATGTTTTAAAATAATACTTAAGCCTTCATTTTTTTTACTATAAATAGTTTTTTTTTTCAGAAATACCCCAAATTAGAATGAAAAAAAAAAACTACTTAAAGTGACATGATTTGTATTTTAAATTTTTTAAATATTTTTTTATTTCGATCAGGAGTATTATGATAAAAAAAAATTGCTCATAGCCAAAAAATTTAATTGAAAATAAACAAAATAGATGGAATTAAAAATTTAGAAATATTGAAAATTTAGATTATTATATAAAAACGAATTGAACTATTTATCCTAAAAAATTATGAATAAAAAATTAAAAAATAAAAATAATCTTTTTTCACTAAGAAGAAAAAAAAATTTACATCGTTTTGGAAATTATAAATGCTAAAAATATAAAATTTTCTTTTCATCTTTCAAGATATTTGATAAACAAATAATATAAATAATTCTTTTAAATATAAGAACTGAAAAATAAAGTAAAAACTTTTAATTTTTCAAAAAAAATATAAAACATATCTTTTAAATTTTATCAAAACTTTATTTATTTATAATTTTTTAGGAAACTTATAAATAAAGAAATTGTTCTTTAAACGATTTTTTTTGTTAAAAAAAATCTTGATTAAATTTTGAACACGTGTTAATTTACGAGCATGCACGTGTCCTAAATTAACTATGGTTTGTTGTTTACTTATTTGAAAGACATGTTGAGTCAGTAAAAAATAGTTGAATGACATAATAAAATAAAATAATAATATAAAGACATTTTAATCTAAATCAATATAGTGCAACGATAATTTTGTGTTTTAACTCCGTTCAAAATTATGCCGATATGTAATTAATAAGAAAAAAAAACTTGAATTATCAAGTTGAGAATAATAAAGAATGTCAATTAGGTGCATTTTTTAATCATTATTTCTTAAATAAATAATTAACTGAATTTGTTTATCAAATAAAAAATAACGCATAAAATGTATTAAATTTAAAAATAAAATATACACATGATATATGAAAACACAATCAAGTGATATGTTAGAAACCAGTCAATAGAAAATGAAATTAAAAGCTCTGACAACATGACTCCATATGTTTTCAAACAAAATTACAGATGATGTTATCCTCTAAGACTTAACAATAATCATCATCATCATATATCCACGATGGCATGTATGGATCAGGATAAATAGTCGTCGTAAATATATCCACGATGGCATGTATGGATCAGGAGTTTTCTATAAAAATTATCCACATTACCTATTACAACAACGATAACTCTCATTATTACAATGGCTAGTTAAGTTCTACAACATACGTATTAAATTAAAATAAAAGTAAATACCTTAAATTTATATTTGTATTTGTGTCGATTATTCATTTTTAATCTTCTATTTTTAATTTGATCAATTAATTTTTATATTCTCTGAATCCATTCAATTAACCCTTAATTTCTTTAAAAAAAATAACCTAATAACTAATTTCTATCAAATTTCAATGTTAACTATATATTTTAATTGTGCAGCATTTTAAATATTTTCATTTATAAGATGATTATTATCTTGACAGATATATTAAAAATGATTTTTAATAAAAACTCCATGAGTAAAACATTTTTCTTTTTCTTTTTTTCTATACTAATTTCTCTTAGGTTTGTTTTAAAACTGATTTACAGAAACTTTTATGACAAAGATTGAATTATTCTCTATCTCTAAAGAACTTGGAGGTAGTAACCCTTTTTAAAAATTATTATTTTAGTTTTATTTAGCTTCTATCACAAATAACATAATCCATCTATTTTTAATATTTGTTTAGAGTAATGTTATTTTTACATATTGTCTTGCAAAATTCACTTATTGAAAAAATAACAGCCATTTTATGAATATTTTATGCATTAAATAAATGAATTTTGTTAATAATTCTCATGAATACAATAATTGATATTTTTAGATAAGTGAATTCTGTAAAACAATTATATAAGTTTCAAATAATTAAAATCCATTTCTAAGAGTATAAATTTCCCGCTATATGTTCTTACCAGAATCATAAAAATGAGAGAAACAGCTATAACTTATCCATCACTGCCTCCGATGACCCCTTCACCAGTACATAAATCCATCTTTAATTTAAACGTACCATCAAGAAGAGGATGTCATTTCAACCATAGTCCCCTTCTTACTTATAGAAGGACAAGACTCCTAATGCAATTTAAATCCGCAGCTGTAGAAGTGCTTTTAGGGTTATAAACTAAACAAGGGACGGAATTTATTTGGGCAATCTCCATATCTACAGACATCTGACAATAGATAAATAAACATAAAAAGAGGCTCGGAAAAAAAATTGGCCCAAGAAAAGAGAGGGAAAAAAAACATTAATCTGGTTGAACCAAAAAATACAAATGCCCCAGACCATGTGTACCCTCCGTTAAGGGCGGAGCAAAATTCAAAAGAACAAATTGATGTTCTTTGACACCAACTAAAATTATTTTCTAAAATACCATAACCACCAAGTGAAACCCAAATACATCACACAAACAGATGAAACGTCCACCTGAAAAAGGGATATCTTGTCATCCTTCCGTACATTATTGCTCTCTCCTACTAACAAAAGAACTGACTTCCAATAGCACCAACAGAAGTTGCCTGGTCTAGGGCTTGAAAGCCAAGGCCAATCCAACCTTAGCACTCTTTTCAATTGCCTTCGTGTCGACCTCCCCCGAGATTGTGAATAGAGACTTAGGGCGCCACTCATGCTGGATAAGAGCACTCACTTTCCCATAGTTGTTCAACCGAGCCTTCACTGAAGTCAGGGGGTCAAGTGCATGCTGCGTGCCAATGGTCAAAGTGTTTTCTTTGCTTGAAAAGCTATGGGTCAGCTCCGCCCCAACGGCTGTGTTGGTCAATGGGCTCACTGAGTGATAGTAGGAAGCATTAAGGGAGTCTCCCTTGTCATTGCTGTGGTCATCAACAAAAATAACTCCCATCAGAAAAGGGAGACTTCATCAAATAAAAATATGCACAAACAGGAGAAATTACTCCACTTCAATATTTAACCGAGATGCTAATCTCCTATATTCTGAGTAAAAACTTGTTGTCTTAGATGATAAAAGAGAGCAGAACTTTGATAAAAATTCAGAAAATTTAGTTCAGTTAGCATCTTTAGCAATACTGCCATCTAAAAATTATTCACCAGCAAATGCATTCAAAACTAGTCTTTCCCTGCATTTTACTACTCATGCTTTTCAATGGGTTAGTGCCAGCATAAGACTTATCAAGCTCTTTAAAGAGGTAGTGCTAAATGCTCTGTGAACATAATCATTGAAAACAACAGAAACTATCTGGTAATAGAGTGATTAACTAAAAAATAACTGCTTTCTCAGCATCACTCACACTGTCAGAGAAGCAATTAGGTCGGCATTTGTATAACTCAACCCTGCATTGCATTTAGTAAAGTTCCCAGAGGCAGTATCAAATGAGAGATCAGTCCCTAGAGCAACAGCATTGTTCCCGACCACGCCTGAGAAGTTAACAATGGGATTTGCAGTCAAACCAAGGCTAGTGCTTATTCCGGCATACTCATGCTGGTACTGGAGTTCCACCTGTTACCACAAGCAATTAAATCAGATCATAGAGTGGCAAAAGACAACCGCATTAACAGTGTGACATGCCCATCAATGCAGTAAGAAATTCAAAATATACAGAACATGCAAGACCTCATTGTTTACCGACAACTAAGAAAAATTAAACCACCAATCAATAACCATAACAGCGAAATATGTTGTTCCCATCAATGAAACAAACCAGTAAAACAGAATGCAGAAACAATAAGGGATTATAATGCCAATTAATATTTTTTTTAGTGGGTCCTAAAATTTAAATTCAATATAAAGTGATAAATTAGTTGAAAAGGTAGGAAATCTAAAAAATTAAAGTATAGAAATTTCACCTAATTTTTTTTTTATAGTATATCATTTAAAACCTCAGTCTAGACCTATTTTAATATAAATAAACGGTTTTTTTTTCATAGCATAACATTCTACTTTGAAATGCAAAACCTTTAATAACGAGAAGAGAACTAAAATATTTTATTTATAAAATTTGCTTAATTTCTACACACATAAGATTGTGCAAGTCAGTAAACTAGGTCATGCTTTTCGAAGCCTCAAAGAAACAGTGTTTAACCAAAATAATATATATATATATATATATATATATATAAAGTATTTTTCATTGATAATAGCATAAACATGTATAAATATATGTTGTACTCGTATAATTTTGAAATACAAATTATTCAAGATATAGTCTTTTGTGATTTACGTATTCATGTAAAAGAAAGTATTTTTTATATTCTTATAACTCTTATTTTTAGATTTAGAAAATTGGTTGACTTTAATGCATTCATTTTTGTTTAAGAAGTTACCAAAGACTTAACTCCTGTTTTGATTTGGATGATTGATGTGAGATTGGATATTAAAAAATTTCTCATTTTTAAAATTGTATTTTATAGAACTAAAATCACGCATCTATAATCTTAAGAAATATCATGTATTAAAAAAAATCAAAATCAGATAATTATGGTTAATTTAAGCACAACAATAATTAGTATGATGAATGTCCATTGGTTTACCTAAAATTAAGAATTAGAAAGAACAAAAAATAAAAGGATATTTAAAAAAAAAAACATGAACTGCTTTAATTAGCTGACATGATATTTGGCTGGTGTAATGATGTTGATTCTTTGCCTGATTTATTTGTGATTAGAAATCTTCAAGAGATTCTATTTTTTTCAGAAAAGCAATCGATTGCTTTGGCCAATGTGAGTCATGATAAACATAAATGCAAATTGTTAACAAATAACAATGTTGTTATTTAAGTACCGTCTTCTCTTAGTGAAAACATTAGTGTACTTAAATTAACTTCTTGTCATTTGTCAACAACTTGCATTTATGTTCATTATGACTCATACCACTATCAATACATGTTTATGTTATTATCAAAGAAAACAAAATCAAAAAATACATACATACATATATATATATATATATCAAAGATAAAGTTTATCGACAAGGAAAAGAGCCTTTTTACCTTGCCAGATCTCTGATCAGGAACTTTGAAGCTAAAAATAGTCTTGAGCCCAGGAGCAGGTTCGTCAATAGTAATAGTCGTGAGAAGCTACAGATGAACATACCACTATCAATAGGGCAATCAAAGAATCATATTACTAGAAATATAATTATCCAACAAATGTTCACTGCATGAAAATGTTAAGTCTAATTAGCCATGATACAAATGCCAAAAGGAATTGCATCTTTTGAAAGACTGAACAAACTAGTTCACAACCTGATGTAATATCATGCTCTGGTCTGACAATACAGCCATAGGGTATCATCCCAAAGAAAAATCTAACAAATAAGGCAGCAATGCATGTAATATAAAACTAATAATGTGCCATCACAGTATCTCACACCTGCAGTCAACTGAAAATAAAAAACCTAACTTAAATGGAAAAGGAGATATTGAAACATGATGGCATACTATTGAATTAACAGCATGTTTATCAGGTATTCCGTATTTATATAGGACAATTTTCTCCAAATCTGAGATAAGAGATTATATACATCTCAATTTGTCAACATTATGAAATGAAGTATAGATTTGAGATGAATACAAGAGTTCCATCAGATCACATTATCTAGGGATTCAAACAATTTAGACCAATACTCAAGAAACACAGAACTTCATAGTTCACCAACCCAGAGCACGAAAAAGAAGAAGAGTAAGACGGAGTGCGACTTAAAGTCTAAAACAAAATCATCAGACAAGAGCAAACTATATATTCACAAGCACAGATAATTATCATTTATGAGAAGTCAAAGAACAAGAAAGAGAGCAGGCTAGTTTTAATGTCTTACATTGGAGTTCGTATCCACTTTTACATCAGTTGTGATGTTTTTGTTCTTTAGCTGACTGCTAACATCCGCTAAAAACAGCTCACCTTTCTTGATCCCAGTTGAAGTGATTGACTGGAATGGAACATAAACATAATGTCAAAAAACAACATTATAAAAGTTCGTTTTCACAAAAAACAAAAATGTACACTTCACCACAATTAGCTTGATAGAAGACACTGAAACTAAATATCCAACAAATGGATTGCTCATCTACACATCCAAAACAGATGGCCATTCTCAGGCGTAATATTTTCAATGGATTAAGAGTCTCTATGCAGTTTGAAGCCAAAATGACATTCTTGTATCACCAATACCATATTTGGTAAACTAAACAAATCAACGCAATAATAATTGGAATACTGTTTCCTTCTCTCTCTCTTTTTTCCCCCTTTTGTACCCATTCCCAGATCCAGGATTGCTTAACAGGATTATTCGATGATTGAAGCTGAAACTCTCTTTTTGACTGTTCGGGAATCATACAATTAATGGAATCCACATGTTGCTTAATGCAAAGAAATCAATCGTCCAACACTTAATAATGGAGGTTGACCAATTCATTTCTCATCAAAATCAAAAAAAAAAAAAAAAACTTTCAACCGTTTTTAGGCCTACGAATCCCAACTTCAACATGGAACAAATTAGGAACAAAAAAAAAAAAAAAACATGGATTCATCAGGAAAAACAACATAAAAACAGAAATATGATGTAATCTACTGCAAAAACAATAGTACTTAATAAAAAAGAAAAGGAAAGAAAATTACAACTCCAGTGGAAGTATAGGTAGTGACAGTGAACTTGTGGTCGCTCTGGTAGTCCTTATAGATAAGATCTGGAAATTTAGAGCAATTAAGAAAAAAAACCCAAAAAAATCACCAAATGACAACAAAGGAAAATAACAAAGAGTGGGAAAATAATGAATCCTTGTTACCTCTGGCCTTCTTGCCAATATCGGCGTAGAGACCTGGACCTTTTCCCATGATTCTTTTTTTTTTTTTTTCGAATAAACGGTGATGAAAGGGAAAGAGAAAACTTGAGAGGGCTTTTGTAGTTTTGTTTGCTGAAGCAGAGTATTCTAGAGGGAGAAAAAAAAAGAACCAACAATAAAATATTGAGAGAACCCCTACCTAGCTTCTGTGACCGGTTGTTATGGACCGTTGGATCTGAAGAGAGAGAAGGAGTGCTAGGGTGTTATATGCCCTGGCGAATCGGAACGGGTCCTTGGGGGGCATATTCGCCTAAGCTGTTCGGTACAGTGCCTAAATTATTTGATTGTAACAATTGAATGTCTGACCTTTATTTCTTAGCAATTTAGTTTCTCATCTATTACGCAATCAAGTGTCTACATCCATAGTTGTTCTTCGTGGACTTTAGAGATGGAACTGGTGCGAAAAACGAATGCAACGTGAAGGCTTTGGGCTCTGTTGATTCTGCCATTGGTGTTGCTTTTTATCAACTATCGAACCACTGTTCTTATTCATAGAGACTGCTGTCATTGTTTTTGAAGTACTTAAGATTTTGAATGAATGTTGTTGCTTATCATTTTTTTTCTAATGTACATGTTAGAATATATATAAAATAGTTTATAGTTTTCTGATTCAATCCAAATTGAGTATCAACTCATAAAAACTCCTGCATTTAGGTCATATGTCAAATGAATGGGTTGAAAATGTAGGTATATAATTTTAGAAGAATTAGTTCATTATATCAGTATATTTTAAGTTATACAAACTATTCATATGATTATTAAAACATAAATTTTATAAGACATTATTTCTCACACGAGACATTGAAAATTGTTGATTAAAAGCTATGCTTAAACTCTTTCCAATTATAAGAATCCTTTTTTTTTTTTAATAAGAAGAGATTGTTGATGATGGTTATAATATCCGGTAAAAAAAAGTTAAAATATAAAAAAACGTAACCGAGCTTTTGAATTTTATTTGGTTTTTTGATATTTTTAGATTAATCGAGATGTGTTATGAGATTGAAAATGGATTTATAAAGATTATTAAGGTGGTGTTTGATAAAACTGAAAATTAAGTGCTTGAATCTATTAACTACTCGAATTTTAAGTGTCGAATAATTAAGTACTAAATTTTAAGTTGACAAGCTGTTTGGTATTAACTAAAAATTAAATGTTGAATACAATAAGTTTGTTTGATAAGTACTATTGTTGAACATATTAAGGTTATATACATAACAATTTTAACCTTACAATTGTAACATGATATTTTTAAACACAAATAAAAATATAATTTGTATATATAAATAGATAAATAAATAAATATTCAATAAAAGTGATTATTAATAAAAAAAATTAAACACAATCTAAGATAACAATGATAAAAAAATTGTCATATCATGCATAAAATAAATAAATCTCAATTATTAATCAATTCATTTGCAATTTGATCTTCGCAAATTAATCATGAATGTTTGATCGGCTCGTGCTTGCGCCCTCCTCCGATGAATGGTAAATTTACAGCGATATTTGGTGTTTGATGCATCACATCATCGCCATCAAATTGTTCAAAAAAGTTGTCGATAACAATTGTTCTTCGAAGATAATTATGTATTGTAACACATGCAACAACAATATCTCTCCGAACTACAAATGGATATGGAGCTATTGTCTTTAGAATTAAAAATCTTGCTTTTAGAACACCAAATGCTCGATCAATAACATTCCTCAATTTTGCATGTGCATGATAAAATGCTTCTTCTTTTGATCTTGGATGACGACCATTGCAAAAATTGGATAACCAATTTCGTGTATTACGATATGGTGCGATAAACCCTCTAAGTATGCGCATATGTAGCATCACAAAGATAATATTTATCTACCATCAAATATTAATCTAATAAATTACTTAAAAAATGTAAAAATTATTAACATAGTACACCTAGAAATAAAGTATCTTAAGGGAAATTTTATATATAAAAAAAATTTAATAAGAATGGAAACAACCTATCGAGTGGAGGAATGGGAAAATTATTTGATGAGTCGTGCATAGTTTACGTTAATACTCTTGAATCATGTGCTACACCTTCCCATTCAGCCCAAACAAAAGTAAAAATCATATCAAAATCACATATTGCAAGAATATTTTGATAGCAATCTCCTTGTCCTCTCCCTCTATATGGGACTTGTTGGTCGGGTGATATAACGACACGAATTAAAATCTCATCAAGGGTACCTACCGCACTTTATAAACATATTAAAAAATTATTAATTTTGAAATACAAAAACCAATAAAATTAGACATAAAAAGTGAAATGTATAACTCGAAATACTTGACGAAGTCGACGATTATGTTGAACTTGACTTAAATGCGGGTGAAATGAAGTAGGTACAACCATTTCTCTTGCAAACTTTAACATTGCTTGCAACACTTCATGAAAATAGTGATGCACTCGTTTGATTTGAATGATTAAATCTTCGTTTCACAAAGCACGATTTTGAAAATTTTGACTTTAAGTTATCAAAAACATTGCCATTTTTTCTTCAACCTTAATATAACGACTATCTCTCAACCATCCTTTTTGTTTGAAATAATCACATAAATTTAAGAATGCTTCCTTTTTCATTCTCAACATTTCTTGACAATGAGTCGGATTTCCATGAAGGATCTCTAGCATATATGCATGTCCTTTAAGAGCCGAATCAGTATCCGGTCTTCTTCCAACACGTCTTCTATTAATCCTTTTCGGTATAAAAAGCAACATAATAATCCTTAAACTCTTTTTTTGCCTATCTCGTCAACATGCTCGTTAATTAAAAAAAAAAAAAAGCAAAAGCATGTTTCAACAAATTGGAAAGAAATCTAATTGAAGAAAAAATATTCAAATTGAAGTACTTTTATTCAAACAATAGTTCTTATGAAAACACTAGACAATCACAATGAAACAAATTATTCTAAAATACTAGACAATCATAATGAAACAAATTAGTCTAAAATTCTAAACATAAATCATAAAGAAAAACATTCAATTAAAACAATGCCAACTTTTTAGCAATTATTTTGATCCATCCAATTCGACTTCCTCGGCTTTTGAGAAAGATTTATCCATTGCTCTCGATATGCTTTGCTTTCACGAAAGATAGCACATATAGCTATATATAAAGGGTCATCCATTCCTAAAGTCTCCATCTCATCCAACTTCTTATTGCATTATTCTATACTAGGTCCTTCGCATTCTTCCATGTCTTCGATCATCGCCACCAAATGATCATCAATTTCATCATCCTTATTTTTCTTTCGACGTTTTTCGGTGTTTTTTATTTTATCATTTGGAGTTGAAAATAGAGTCGAAGAATTAGACTCTAAATCAATAAATTCTTTAAAATTTGTTCCAATTGGTTCGAGTGGGCATAAAAGGACTATCTCCATTTGCCTGCATGGATTCTTTAAAAGGGTTTGAGGAAGCAACTTCATTTATAGGCATTGTGTCTTTAGAAGGACCCCAAACTTCTTTTCCGAGTGGCTGAAATTCTATCAAATAATGATTTCATCTCATCCGAAAATTGCAAACCAACATAACGAAATTGTTTTGCGTCATTATGATTCTCGTTACATAAATATATCAAATCAATAATATGATTAATTGCTTTAAGCTCTACTAGGGAATGAAATGTATAAAAAAAAATAGTACTCGCTCATAATCGTCCCACTCTTATGCGGTCCAATTGACGATATTAGTCACCTGGATCATAACCATGCTCACTTTTATCTATTAGTTTTGACCTACTATGTACTTCTTTTTCAAATATGTCCACTCATTCTTCGATTGTTTTTGAGAAAACTTAATGTGTTTCTTTTCCTCAAATGCTTTCACTACATTGTCCCATGATTCTTTTTTTAAGCTCCCTCTATTTTTTTCAAGAATACTCACTTATTCAATACATATATCCAAAAAAATTTTACTATTTTGGGATCCTTCCAATTGGCTCTAAGCACTATCTTCGAAGCCATTCCTACACATAATAAAATAATTAAACCAAAAGTCACATATAAACTACTTTAACTCGTTTAAAAAAATAATTAAAGTATAATAATATAATTACTTGCATGTTAACTAAAGTCATATTTTCCATTAAACAAAAAGTGACCTTCCACCCTTTTGATTATATTCATCAATAGTTATACATATTATTTTTCACTTGGTACTATAGAATTAACATATAATGAACTATTAAATTAATTTGAATAATTGAAATCATATAAGAATGATGAGCCATCTATTATACGCTTGTAAAATCATTTTCAAAATAGGCCTAAGGATTTGAAATCATATTTAATTATTTATAAATTGTAAATATGTCACCATCCAACATGTAAAACCATTAATTATTTATGAAAAGTGCAGCTACGGAAGATTTAGAAGTAAAACCCGATTAAATGAAAAGTGCAGCTACGGAAGATTTGGGAATCCAAACAATATCCTTAGCATTAGTTCATCCAAAAAAAAAAAAAAAGCTGAAAAGATAATAAAATTGCCAAACTCAATGTAGTGAAAAGTGGACACGGCTCACGGAATATGTCTAATCTCTCTTGCATGCCATTCCTTTTTTAATGTATAATAATATAATTATTTGCAACCCGTCTATCATGCTAGCATAAAAAATAATATCTTACGTTGTGGATGGCTTCGCGAGCTACGGTTTAATATCAAATGACAAATGGCAATTAAATCTCTTTTGTTTGTCACTCCAGGACAAAAGATAACATTAGACGTGTACAATGGCATGAGAAGTGAATTATTCAAAATCCAAACCCATTGTCATTTACCTCTCCTCCAATATCTCTCTCGTACGGACTTCCCATTCCCCTTCCCCTTCTCCCGTAACTCATCACTTCGGTCTCTCCTCATCTCTTTCTCTCTCAATTGCCACTCCACACTATGACAAGCTTCAAAAACTCTCTCTCTCTTAATCCCACACACGAGCAAAATGCATCTTTCTATTGTACTCCTTTCTCTATTTTTCTTCCTCTTAACCAACACTCGCTATCACTCACGGGCACAACATTACTCACATTCTTGTTAGCCACCCATCTTTCTCCACCTTCAAACACTACCTCACCCTAACGCACCTCGCCGGAGAAATTAACTAGCCGATGTGAAAGATTATCCAAACTATCCCTTAAAATGGCAATTATTTTCTACTAAGCTCAACCCTCTTGAGCTAGCTAGCAAAATTAAAAGTTAAATTTCTTCTAATTTGATTTTATACAGATTGGGTTTAGAGAGTAATAAAAAAAAGACCAAGAACAAGAGTAAAAATTCGAAGAATTTTATGGGGGAATAGTTGCTGCATTTTCTAGGAAAATTCTAGGTTTTTGTTCATTTGTTCTTCATTTTTGGGTAGGGGTTTTGATGTTCTTCACATTTTTTGGTTTTCGCTTTGGGTCTTCGAGTCTTTCAATTTGATTCTCGGTTCCCTAGCTTCAAATTATTATTATTATTATTCTCTTTTCCTTAAAATTCTTGGGAAGCCATTCATAGGTTCTTCATATTATGCGTTTTGATTCTTGAGCTTCGGGTTCCATTTACTTTCCGGGTTTCATTCGAACTCTCTAATAAGTTGTTTTCCCATTTTTCCAAGCTTGCCTACCATTTACTTTTTGGGTTTTCGTATGAGTTTCTAGGTTCTCATGAACACTCGGGTTTTGTTTTAGGTTGGTGGGTTTTATTCCAATCTTCGAGCTTTAGGAAACACTCAAATCACCCTATAACTACTCGTTATTCCTAAATCAAACCCTAAATCATTTAATCAAAACGAGTACAAGATCCATTAACACATGCTAACGAGTAAGCATGGGAACGATCCGCATCCTACCCTCTTTGTTATTTAACGCACCACTTTTCAACGCTCTCTAGCATATGATGGATGGAAACGATCATGAGGCAATTGGGTTTTCGAATCATGGGAAGGATATGCGTCCTAACCTCTTTGTTATTTTGTCCTCCTCCTCCTAACAAATTTATCTATGCTTGACATCATTGGGTTGTTGGACACCATACCGAAGCTAATTTAGGTTTATCAAAATTGACATCATCGTGTTTTCGGACACCACTCTTCAACGCTCTCCAACATGATCAACAAAGAGATGACCTTAATTTAATCAAAACCCGAAACTAAAAATATTAATCTACAAAAAGAATCAACCTTTCTTTAAAAAAATATACAAAAGAAAAAACAATCAATATATCAACGGACATAAAAGGAAATCATCCGTAATGGATAATGGAATGAAAGGAAAATTACCTATGATGGGATTAGACCTTGACGTTTTAGATTCCTAGTAGTTTATTTATGATGATAGGATGAAAGCAACGATAAAAGAGAACGTGTTTTTTGTTTCACCAATGGAAATAGTAAAGATTGTTTTTCGAGTTGATTTGTATAGCTAAAGTTATAAAATATATGAAGGCTATATAGTCATATTTAAAAAGTTTTAAAAATCTTTCAACCGAGCATGTTAATAAAAAAGGAATAAGTTAAAAATGTTAACTTACATGATTAAGTAGATTTTGACTTAACTTAAACTTTTAATATAAGATTATTTAGGTTATCAAACAAACTTGTTATATTAAGTACTATAACTTAATATTTTAAGCTACTTAATTAGGTTATCAAACATCCCCGTGTTTGGAAGCAAAAAGTTGAAAAAATAGATTTGGAGGTCTAAACTGATAACCTCTTTATTTTCCGGTCCCTAAAAAAGCAATGGACGACGCTTCGTCCTCCTAATTTTTTTTCCCCAAAAAAATTATTTTTAAGAGGTCCAAGCACGAACACCGAGCCTACCGGCTACAAAGCCCATGCTCATCTAAAACTTGGCTTACCAAGCTAACCCTCTCTCTTTTTTCTTTTCATTTTCCTTTCTTTATTTTATTTTAGATATTCTTAAAATTAATTTATCTTTATAAAATAGTTAAAATATCATTTTAACACATGTTTAATAGCACCATAATTTTCAAATAAAATTAGTGCATTGATACTAATATTAGCAAATATTTTATGAATTATAACATACCAACCTAATGTGCATGATTTTTGTTAAAGAAAAAATGATGTCATGAATATTTAATAATTAAGAACAAACAAATTTGTATATTTTTATTTGTTAATTTTTTTATATAGTTTGTAAAAAATTAATTATTATTTTATTTTCTCATACAATCTTATAAAAATTGGTTAAGGGATATTCTTTAATTTATATATATATAGAAACTCACTCTTAAAATTATAAAAATAAATTATTAAACAATCCGATGAAAAAGAAAAATGAATTGATCTTATTATTTTTTGTTGAATTTTTTAATGTAATAAATAATGTTAAAATCGCACATAAATATATTGTTAATCAGAAGTAGCGAAACTTAATAATAATAATAATAATAAGCATTTGACAATTACTATTTTTAGAATAAAAACTGTAATGAGTAAATAAATTTTAAAAAAATACATCAAGAATTAATTAAAAGTTTTTTTTTTTTTGAAGTTTTCTTCTCTCCTAACATGAATTGACAAATTGAAAAATAAACTACAAATGCTGTAGATTCTGTAATATCTGTTTCATTAATTTAATATACAAATTATTTACTTTATTTGCACCTATCAACATTTATCAAACTTAATTTCAGTTTATTTTAGCTTTAATTGGATTTGATTAAAGAATTTAGACAGTTTTGTTAAAAGAATCCACAATAATGCACGAGTCATCAAATTAGTAACAAAACTAAAAGATAATGGAGGTTAGCCATGGTTTATTGTGGAGTTAGCAAATGTTGGCGATACAATTTGCCATTTTGAAATTATAGACCTCCATGCGATTCAATATTCAAACAATAGCAAGATGTGGTGATAAAAAAAAAAAAACCCATAATTCTAATGAGTAATTATAAATTAAGCTCTGTAGTTTTTTTTAAAATTAAATAGTGTTTCTAGTTTCAATAATTAATTAATGAATTTCTAAATCAACTTGTAACTTATTCATTTTCATTCCTTTTCAATATATCTTAATTTTTCTTTTTATTTTCATAATAATAAAGTTAATAAAATTAATGAAAAATTATTTTTTAAATAAAATAATATTAAATTAACCATAGCAATCACTTATCAAGAAACTAATTAATTAGTTTTGAAATAAAAAAAAATTATTCAATTCATTTTGTAAATCCAGAAAAACTAATTTATAATTTATTATACTTCTAATCCAGCTAACATCCTAAAAATGAATGTTGTGATTTACCCAAAATAATAATAATAAATTTAAAAAGCAAGATAAAACAGAAAACTGTGAATTGGTATTTTACTCCTTGAAATTTTCTATTTCGTTAAAGTGATCCCCTTTTTTCAATTTTATAGGTCGCGCGTTATTATATGGCGATGGGGTACATTGAGCATACAAAGAAGCAAAACGAAATTCCCATAAGTTTTGACAAATAAGAGCACATCAAACATGGTACATAACAACTTTTATTCTCTTTTCTTTAGCTCTCATATCGAAATGAATAAGAAAAACTGGGATACAAATAATCAGTCCACTCTCAAAATGTTATTCTCAACGACAGCATTACACATCAGGTTAGAATTAAGTGAAATCATATGTCAAAACGGAGCAGGCATAATTGGTAGCTTAAATCACTTGTCCATCCATTGCATAATAGAAAAGAAGTTGCCCTCAGCTGGTTGGTATCCTTTCACAATCGAATTGCATTCAGGCGTAGCCATGCATCCACTTTTGTTTACAGCAAGAAGAGAGAACCGATCAGCAAAAGCAGCAAGTAGATCAGACCGATATTCTTGTCGCTCGAATTGGCTGCATTGTCATTCAAACTGCCTGCCTTGTAAGTCACAAAGCTTCCTTCAGGTGTGCTTGTGGTCAGAACAACAACAATCCAGTTATCATCAGAACCGATCCCAGCTCCTGTATACTTGGTATCATTAAGGTTTTCTGAGTATTGAGTCCTTGTGAAGTTAGTGAGCACAAGACTTGGATCCAGGTGGGGAACACAAGCAGGCATCACAGCTCCATCCCTTGTGTTGGAGGCATTCAAATTGCATTTGGCTAGAAGGCTTGGGTAATTGGGGAACTGCGGCTCAGTGCCTGGTACTGTGTTGGAGCCCGTCGCATTTGTACAGGGTTGATCCTTAAATTGGTCAGCTAGTTCCTCAGCAAGGCAATGTGCATTATCATTTTTTGTGAGGGCAGTCAAATTCAAGGATTTCCTATAGTCGTTAATGCCTTGAAGAACAGCATCCTCCTGATCACCTGAACATAAATGGCGGAACGAGAAGCTCAGTGTTAAGGTATCAGATGAGGGGGGACACTAGGGACCTGAGACCATTCCCAAATTCTTGTGCATTATAAATAAGCAGCAAATCTAGCTTTTGCTAGTATGGCTTGAACTCAAGGGAACTTAGAGGACAATAACTTTGAAAACCGTTTTCTTGATCTTAAGCACAAGTATCAGCTACTTGCATTAAAAAGATTCCAACAAAAAACAGATTGATGGAAAGAACAGTTATAATAAAAGAGGGGGAAAAAAACAATGAGTGAAGACTTGATGAGATAAACTATTAAGCAAAACAAATATTGCTGAAGCAATCTTATCAAAACAGAAATGGCACAAGAATAGAATCTTACAAGTAAACATCTGACTCTAAAACCTTCATAAGTAAGACCCACACGTACAAAAAAATATTTTGCTTTATTTTTCATTGCCTTTGAGGGAAACATGCAACTTTTGCGCAATTCTTTATTGGCTAAACCTAAACGATGGTGCATCCTACTATAAGAAACAATATATATATACATTTGTGTATGTGTGTGTGTGTGTGTTCTGGAATTCAGAGACTCTTACTCCGGCATTGTTGAGACTAGCTATTTCTATCTCTAGTTCCGGGGAATGGTTAAGAAATTATGAAGAACGTAAGTGGAAGCTTGTAGTAAAACAAAAATTTTAAAAATCAAATCCAGTTGCTGTGGCTATCCATAAACACTATAGATCCATTAAAGATAGAAAGAAAATCATGAAAGTAAATCATGACACTAGTTCAATTATAACTCTTTTCATTGGGTCATAAATTAACAAGCAATCTTGCCAAAGCAAATTTGCTATATAATGTATTACAGCCCGTTTGGAAACATTAGATTTTTGGGAAGAAATGTAATCAATTCAAGACTATTTACCAATTCCAGCGTTTTGGAAAGTTGTACGTAATTACAATAAGAGATTTCCATATGATTTCAAATTGGGTAGAAATGAAATCAATTCAATGCAATTTACTTAAGAAATGAAATCAATAGCAAGTTTTACTAGCAAGTTTTCCTTTTTTCTCTTTTGTGGAGGTCTCAAATTAGGATCCATAAAGATTACCATATATATATTAGCAAGTTTTTTTTTCCAGATAAATATATTAATTTGTTCTTTATATAATAACATGAGTTTTCAATCCATTCCAAAATTTCTAATTGCATGCATCTATTGTCTTTCAATAATGTTTAAGTCTCTAACTTGTTATTTTGATCAATTTTTTCAACCATTAACAAATTTTTTGACAAAAAACAACATTTATTAGGTTTTTTTTTTGCATTTCTACCAAGAGTATTTAGGTTAAAAAATTATTTATAATCGAAAAAACTGATTGGAATGATAAATTGGAGATTTAAACAATTTTCAAGCACATAATATATGCAATTAGAAATATAAAAACAAATTAAATTGAAGATTCAAAATATTATATAGGAATAAATTGACTTATTTATCATTTTTTCTTTTTAGGAAATATCTCTAATTAAGATCCATACTTAGCAGTCGATTAATTAGTCATAAATAATCTATTAAAGAAAGCAGGGAAAAAAAAAAAGCAACCTTAACTAGATTCACAAATAGTAGAATGTGGGTTGGTGTTAATTCAGCCAGATACGCCAATCTAGATACCTAGCTAGTAATCCTAAATAAATGAGAAGCTCATCGGCAAAAAATAGAAGTAAAATAGGAAGAACATTTGGTAAATAAATCCTCGCCAGCAATTGAACAAACATCTATTATTAATAATGCAATCAAGTTACCAAGAATCCAGATTAACTGAATCTATAATAAGACTAATTAACAGGTAAAACAACAAAGTCAAAGAAACAGGAACACAGATATTATCTCTAAATCAGGAATCAGTAATCAGATCTCACATAAATTAGCCAAGATAATGTAAAAAGAAAAAATAAATAGCTAGCTCAAAATATTATACTCCATTAATTAATTAAAGGAAATGGAAAATGAGAGAAAGATGAAGCCAGATAATTAAGTAACAAGAAAAGAAAAGAAAGATGGTTACCTACCGTCAGAAATGACAGGGTGAGTGATGCAGAGAAGGAAGAAAACAAAGAATGGGAAGAGAAGAGAAAAACTTGAAGATGCCATTGCTTTGCTGCTGCTACTGATGTTGAAAGGAGAATGGCGTCGGTGAAGAATATTAATAAGAGAAGGAAGGAAGGTAGTTAGTACTTAGCAGCTTGGAAGGAAGATAGACGGTTGCTTTCTTTTCAGTTATGTAATGTAACTACTACCATTGTTACAAGCATTGCCCCTCTCACCACCGCTCTATACGATATCGTTTCAAAAGTCAATAATAGAGGGACATGCTACCTACCTGCCGAGCGTCTACCTTACTTTTCTGAAAACGACACCGCTTACTACTCAACCCAGACTGTTCACGTCCCCACTCGAAGCTGAAAAAAATAATTAAAAAATAAATAAATCTTAGGGCAAGCCTCAAAGAAGTCTCCAACATATATATATTATCATGATTAGGCCTTTAATGTACCTTTAAATTATAAAATTGTTAAATGATCACGTGAAATTCACTTCATTTTTCTTTCCTCATTTAAACCTAGGAATTTATTAAAGTTTTCATCATCATGCGATAAAACAGACTATATAAAAAAGGTGAAGGCTTCATGTTTTTTATGTAGTTTAGTCCATCACGTGATTTATAATGAAAAACATAGGAAATTCAATGTTTTTTTTTAAAAAAAAATAATAAGAGAGAAATCACATGAGTTTTGTGTGACTACTTAACAATTTTATTAACTGAAATTAACGAGAATATCTAAATAAAAATGCATTGATACGTTAAGGACGTGATTAAGACACTATCACATATCAAGCCTTAAGTAACAGTTGAAAATCATTGTGTCACGTATAATGCAACAATTTATCAATCATTATATTCGATCAATGCTACAATAGATTAATTCAATGGTTTTTATGCAAAATAGCAACGCACAAATTTTCGTTGCATCATGTTCTCAAAAAACAACGGTTATTTTATTACTTTAGACAACGATTTTGAGTATCATTTAACATCGGTTTAAGTCAAAACTTATGTAATGATTTTCACCATATATGTTATGATTTAAGAGTTATTTTACGTAATAGTTATCATCAAATAAGGCACCGGTTTATGTAATATATTATGTATAATACCTCAAACCTACAAATAAATGAATTAATATATTTTAAATATGTATGAAAATTATCTTGTGTGCATAGAAAAATTGCTAGAGAGATGCAAGAATATTCAATGCACTAAATTTAAATTTTTCGTACTTGGTGAATAATTTATTAACTTTTATGTGTGTGAATAGTGCACTTTTATGCAAAATAATTATTTTGAGTGCTAAATTAGTGCATAAAAATTAGGTGATTGATGAATAAATTACTATAGAAAGTATATGAATTAATTGTGAAAAGAAATTATTTTTCGAAGTGTGTGGAATTAATTATGTGCATAGGGACCTAACTGCATAAAATTAGAGACCTAATTGCATAAAATTAAAAGTTTTAGCCCTCAAGTAAATTTGGAAATAATTTTTAGGAGGGCATAAGGATGAAAAAGCCTTAGGGAAAGACCAAAATTAGTCAATTGAAAATTTGAGGGACTAAAAGGTAAGGATAAAAATTAAATGGTGTGATACATCAAGAGACTAAAATAAACATTTTGGTCAAGAATTTTTCACATTAACCCACCACCTCACCCTCCATGCATATTAATTGAATATAATAATAAAATAAACAAATGGAAGGTTAGGATTAACGTGATGAAGGGTTAGGATTAAAAGAAAGATGGAAGGTGAAGATTAAACCAAATCAAGGGCCGAGATTAACCAAAACAAAGAAAAATTCACCCAATCTTACCTATAAATTCGGCTTAGAAGGAGGAAGAAAAATGGTGGAAAATAGAAAAATTAGGCCAAACTCTTACCAAATTTTTCAAAGAAATTACAAGCCAATTTAACCTCAACACTAAAAACATCCTTAAAACACTCTATTAAGCCTAGAATTATAGTTGAAAAATCAAAAACACTAAAGAGGAAAAATTGAGCAAGTGGCCGAAACTTGGAGGAAGACAAAGGGGGAAGAAAAGCTTACAAAAATTCAACCTAAAAATGATTAATTTGGAGCTTGTTGTTTGATGTGAATTGTTGGACTTGCACAACTAATTCAAGTTTAATTGAATTAATCGAATGATTTAGGGTTAGGTTCTTGAACATGTGAATTGAGGGAAATGGTTTAGATGTTGAAATTGATGGATTTGATGATGAAATATGCTAATTAAGCTTGAAAATATGTAGAAAAAATGCAAAACTACCTAGCCTAATTCTATAGAAAACATTCGACTCGGATAGTGAAATTTAGGGCTTATGGTGCTTTTGATTTATTGATGTTTAATGGATTGAATACATGTTATTGAAGTGTAATTAGATGATATTGCATGAGAATTTACACTAAGATTGAAAAATTCACCTAGTTTAACTTAGGTATACATTCGGCCAAATCAAGAAAATTTAGAGTTTATAGTGCATTTGATTTATTGATGTTTAATTGATAGAATATATGTTATTTAAATATAATTAGATGGTTTAATATGTGAAATGATATTTAACTAGAAAAATTCACCTAGCTTGAGCTAGGTGCACATTCGACCCAAATAGGAAAAATTAAGGTTAGAAGTTTGATTCATGTGTTATGATTATTGAAAGGCTTAAATAATGAAGTTAGAATAGTTGGATGGGTTAGTATGTGAATTGGATGATTAAAAAAAATTCATCTAGTTTAGGTAAAAAAAGGAGTTTTGACCATGTGTATGATTTCAAGAAAAAATGTTATTAATCATATTATTGCTTCAATTAGTATTTTCATGGTTGACTAATTGTAACACATATGTTTGATGTGTGCAATTATGTGTTTATGACATGTTCACTTGTGATTATGAGGATGTGAATGAGTGAACGAATTGGTGTAATGTTTTAATAGATGAATGATGTTGCACATTAATTTGACTGGATTGTGTACCTTGAATGTAATGTCATGGAATGAAAAGTCAAAGTTGATGAATTATTATATGCATTTTTATGCTATTGAGGTATATAATTTTATTTTATAAATACACATTATTCATAACATGCATCATAATGATTCATGAGGTTATGCATTTATATTTAAAAGTATATACATGTCCAAATTATGAAAATGATTTTTCTTTATAATTTTTTAATGAAAAAGTTCTTGGGATTCAATTATCCCTAATATTTTATTCATCAAGAGAATTGGTAAAGGTCGCAATCGAAGAAATGATAAAGAGGGCCGAACATGTATAGGACCGAACATAACATACATTCAACGGGGCTCGTTCAAATCATAAAAAGGATTTCAAAAAGAACAAGGAAAGGATTTTAAAGTATTTCAAAAGGGTATGAAAAGGTTTTTAAAGTGCATTTATTACAAAAATGCATTCACTTGTTTATATGCATAGCATGCATGACTAACTTATTGAGCAATAGCTCACCTAGTTCTCGTAATGTAGGAGCGAAGAATATAGAGTGATGGCTATGTTTTCATTGGAGTTTGTTATTGAAAGAACTCGTCATCTTTTCGTTGATCGTATCTTGCATGTGGCTACAAGTTAGACCTCCTACATGTAATTGTGCTCGTTAGTTCTTGGTATTCGGTATATATGTTGGATATGACTACTTTGTTCTATATGATGATAAAGGTAATGAATAAATAAATGATTATCTAGAAAAAGAGAAAGTAGACTTATGAATGAATAAAACCATTTTTGTTAAATAGTGTGATACTAAGCTGATTATCATGTAAAAAAGAAAAGTGGTTTGTTTGTTACCTAATTTTAGACATGTTAACTATATAATAAAATAGTAGTGCGTAGTCATAGTTTCGTTAGTTTAGTACCTACATACTACTATTTGATAATAATAATATGGGCGATCAAATAATCTTTATAAAAGATGACAATTAAGGAAGGAAAAAGGTTAGACTATCAATTAATAGGTACCAGCTAGATAAATTTATTCTAGTTTATAGAAAAAGAATTTGATAAAACGAAAAGACACATATCAAGTTATTTTGGTCTAAGCTATTAAAATAAAATGAAAAAATAAAAAATTTAATAATGCATTTTGGGTTGAAATTTATAAAGAAAGTTGGACCTATTAACGATTTAATGAGCTTCCACAAGTAGAAACCAAAATCAATAATATAATATAAAGGTCACGAGCTTTGTGTCTTACATTCACTATGAGGCATGATGGTAATATCCTCAACCTATTAGGTCCTAGGTCGAAGGTGTTATAGGATGGTATCGTAGCAAGATTTACCTAGGGATGAAAGGATGGCACAAGTAAGATATACATGAAATGAGCTTTAGTAACAAGTAAGTATGTTTAATGATTGAATTATTATTATTGCTCGAGTGAGTGTGAATGATGAATGTAAAAGGCATGATGATTTATTGTGATAAATTGTTATACTTGAATGTTGCGTGTGTGAATGATTTGTTACAATTAAATATTGTAAGTGAATGTAATATGAATATGGATCGTGAATGGTATGATTAGAGTGAATGTTTAAGAAATTAATAACATAATTTACATTGTTTATACGTGTGAATTAGAAAGATGAAGGATGCCCCCAAAAAGGGTAGTAATAATAATACTAGTAATAGTAGGGCCAAGCCAACCAATTTCGGATCAAAAGAGGGAATTAATAGAGCTACTTAGAAGGCGATAAGGGATGATGGAACAATAATAAGAGAGGTATGATGAACAAATGTAAAGGATAATGAAAATGCAACAACGTGGCTCGATCGAAGTACAACCATCGGACGAGCTAAACCGGTGAAACATTCCAAAAGTTTAACCTAAAGGATTTTAGGAATGGTCCAAATCCCACCATTGTAGAAAAATGGATTGAATCCATGAAAGTTATTTTGAAGCACCTAGCCATAAATGATGCGGATTGGATAGCGTGTATAACCTTTATGCTAGTTAGTGATCTTTAAAATTGGTGTGAGAGTCGGTGAAGGTTTCCTTTGATGTGTCGCGACTCACATGGGATCGATT